CCCTGCTCCCCCAACTCAATGACCTCCTGGTTTGCGTGTCCAATGATTGCCACGGCAGCGCCGCCACAGCCGTCTAATATTTTCCTTTCGTCGTCCAAATGAAGGAAGCTCCCAGACGCATTGACAACATTATGTGGTGTCTCTAGTAATGAACGATAGAGAAGAGCCGGTTCCCCTGTTTGAAGTCCTCTGACGTTGGGTGTTTGGTGCTTGAGCAGCGGAGATGACACCGGAGCCAGGGAAGGCGAGCTGTCGAGCAGCACTGATGGGGCCATGAGTAATCATTCGAGGTGTAGCTTCCGCTGTCAAATCAGGGCTGGAAGACTATGACACTTATAAAGGACCTAGACTTTTCGAGCAGCTCGCTCGGATGTTCTAATGAGAGGCGAGATCCTCGGTTTGAACGCGTAGGAATCAATCATGATTTTCCATTACCACATGGATTGCCTCGACCCCTTGGAGATATCAAATGAGTGGGGAGCGAAAGATATGTGCTGAATACTAGTGTCCCTCGACCCATGACTCGCTTCTAGTATAGGATTCAAACATGGATCAATCCGTGAATTCAAATTCTATCTGTTCCGCCCGCGCTATCTTTCAGACCCGAGTCGCGGGACACTAGTACCGGATTTACCAAGACACGATTTTGACACGGCTTTAGTCCACGGATTACTTGCTTCATTTGCGTAATATCTTGGGCAAACCCACGATTCACCTGTCTTTGAACGTTCAAAATCGTAAGCCGGAGCCATTGTAAAGAACCTGAGGTGCAGCTTGAATCGAGCGCGTTTTCGAATTGTCCCTTAACGACAAGTGGAGCAGCGCAAATCCGCGAGTCGTGGGCACATTCTCGTAATCTCTGGGAAAGTTTGCATTGTACATAAGCGCATCTTGCGCTCCGGAATCCGGCCAGCTCTTTCAAATCGGCGCCAGCATTATCCTCCTTCGGTTCTTGTTTGAGACAAGCTGTGAGCCCCCGCCATGAAATCCGACGAAATTCCTTCAGTGAGCGAGGTTCAGCTCGACGTTGCTGGACTTGGGTCAATTAAAGGTCTCTCCCTCAACAACGAGACGTGTCAGTATCTTGGCATTCCATATGCGACCATCCCAGGACGCTTCAGGAGATCTGTTCTCGCGGATTCAGCATGGCCGAATGGCACTTGGGATGGAACAAAGCTGGGGTAAGATCCGTCAAGTGACATGTCTAATGATCAATCGCTAAATATTGGTAGGCCGTATTGCCCACAACCGCCTCGGGACTTCTATCCAGTTCCTACGCCTAAAAGGCCGTGGCTTGAGACCCCTCCAATTGATGAATTCAATTGTTTGAACCTAAATATCTCCGTTCCTTGCCTCCCTCAGAAGCGAAAACCCCTATGCCAGTGATGGTCTTCATACATGGTGGCGCCTTTGCGTACTCCACCGGTTCATCGCCTATATATGACGGCAGATTCCTCGCGTCGTCTTCAGCAAAGGAGCACTCCAAGCCACCCATAATAGTCACACTCAACTATCGACTGGGTGTTTACGGATTTCTAGCTGGTCGCGACCTTCAAGAGTACAACGAAACCCACGGAGAGCAGGGAGTCGGCAATTATGGTATCTGGGATCAAGTGATTGCCCTTCGCTGGATACAGAAGCATATCCCTGCTTTGGGAGGCGACCCGAATAGGGTAACTCTATTTGGACAAAGTGCTGGAGGTGTCTCTGTGAATTGCCATCTTCTTCGAGACGAGCCGTTATTCTCAAGTGCCATATTACAGTCTGGTTTGATTCGTCTATGTGGTGTGCTAAGCATAGACGAGTACCAAGTCATTTACGAGAAGATTCTGCTTGAGTTGGGAATACCCTTGGATCTCCCTGTCAAACGGCGCGTAGAAAAACTTCTCTCTGTTGACACTTCCAAGCTTACAGCAGCGATGAGCCCCGTGTTCATAGTGCCTGTTGTCACCATGGCTCTTTGCGATGATGGAGTTCTCATACCTGGTCCTATGCCAACTGATGAGGAGTTCACTACGTTCAAGGTTCCAGACTGGTGCCCACGCATAATGATGGGAGATTGCAAGAACGAGTGCATCATCTGGAACAAGTCCTGGGACAACCTATCACCAGTATCTATGGCGAAGGATGCTGATCTAGCAACACCCACGGCGCCATTATTGCTACAGAAAATGAGGTCGTATCTTGGGCCTGAGAAGTCAAAGATTGTTGCCGACCTCTATCAAATCACGGAGGAATCATCGCCATCAGAAGTCTTTAAGGCTATAGAAAAGTTTACCTCGGATGGCATGTACCTAATTGCAATCCACTATGCGCAGAAATCGGCCAGTTCGTCGGTCTTTGCCTATCATTTTGATGTCCCCTCGCCGTTTGATAATGCGTGGGGAGGTTATGCCCACCATAGCCATGACAACGTTTTAATCTGGGGCGTCTTGAGGCATTTACTTCCAGAGTGGATGCAGCGAGTTGGAGCCCAAATGTCCAAGGCTTGGATTCTGTTCGCCAACGGAGAAGAGCCTTGGGAGAAGTTCGCTGAGAAAGAGAGGTGGATGGTTTTCAGCCCCGAAGGAGCCAATTTGAAGACCAAGGAAGAGGATAAGGGACGGGGATACGATGTATGGTATAACTTAAATGAACTAGACTTGGTACCTCGCCTAGTAGAATTCAGCGGCGAGCTGTGTCTCAGGAAGAGTGAGCTCATCACCCCGCCGTGATGGGGACATGGCGACTAAACATCGATATCAATAACTACAAATAAAGACCATTCGCAAACTTCGTGCTGACAACGCGTGTTCCGAATTTGAGTAGAATATCCGGTGCAGATAAATCATTGATAAGCTCATATCAAGTGATGTATTAGCAGCCGTGCCTTGGAGCAAACTCGGAAGGACAGGGGCAACTATGTCTCGGTTGTTGAACTAGCTCTATAGATTGCGTTGAATGGTCAGATACATGTTTGATCGAGTTTTGGATGACATTTGGATTCGTAGTGTACAGCCCATCCTTGTTTATATGACATTCTTGAGATCTTGACCCGCCAAAAACCTCCTCAGATTATCAGCAATCAGGCCTTCAGCCCCTTGTGGTCTGCCACCAGCCGCATGCGGAGAGAGAACTAAGTTTGGCGCTTTCCATAGCCGACTCGACTCAGGAAGTGGTTCCGTAACAAACACATCGAGAGCCGCACCACCAATTTCTCCAGCCTCTAGAGCGTCGGCCAAAGCATCTTCATCGATGGACGTGCCACGTCCGACGTTGATGACCCACGCGTGTTTCGGTAAAAGCTTCAGCCGCTCTGTGTTGAGTGCGTTGCGGGTTGAGTCGGACCCAGGAAGGATCATCACCAGTGCGTCAGTCTGTGGTAGCAGCTCGGGAAGTTTGTCCTCGCTGAACACCTCGATGCCGTTGCGGACCCCAGAATGCCGGGCAACGCCTTGCACCTTAGCACCTAGACCGACTAGGTGAGGGGTAAGGGCCTTCGCAATGTTGCCAAAGCCCCATATGAGCACCTTTGCGTCGCGAAGAGTTGTGAACGCTCCTGCTGGACGATCCGGTTGTGGTCCACCTAGGTGAGCAGGCCACTTGTTCTGCAGTTGATAGTCGCGCATTTCATAGAAGCGACGGGCAGCATTGAGGAGAAGGCCAAGACTGTGCTCTGCGACTGTGTGATCATGTAGACCGGATCCGGTGGTGAGAGGTATCTTGGATGTATCGAATCCGGCATTGATAACATCATTCGGGCCGGCAGCGAGCGACTGGATCCATCGAAGATTCTTCATACGACTGGCAGCATCCTTGAGGTTATCTGCGGTGTTTGTCCACGTAACCAAAATCTCTGCGTCGATAAGCTCCTCGGGCAACGGCTTCTTGACATCGTATGGGTGGAGCGCAACAGAAAACCCTTCAAGACTCTGGGTATCAAGCTTCAGTGAGGTGGGGTAGAGCAACTTCATTTTCAGAGATCTAATCGCACGAGACCATGCGCTCATAAGGTGCAATTTTGGGAGGGTCAATATCTTTGTTTCCTTGATGAGACCAACGAATTTGTCTGGAGAGTCAGTAATTGGGAGGACAACGGGACCTGTTGGTAATTGTCGTCATTCGAAACCACCCCCACGATGAGATATATAAGGTGGGTAGTTGGTGTCTTTGGTGGGGAGAATTCCTGCTACGGTAAGCCATTTTCTCCACAAAAAGTGGCATCTGGCTTGGGCTCGGTTGAAAAGGGAGCGATGCCGGAGTTAGACGTGGGGCAACCAGGTCTGAGGGGCTCGAGGCGGCAGCGACACTCTACTTGTCTGTACCACTATATGTGTTATTGTTTGCCTTGTGTACACAGTAGTCCACCAGTGGGTTTAATTCTCTTGGAATGTAGCCCAGCCTTTTCAAAATTGTCGTGGATAGACTACATTTCGATTAGACGTAAGGGAATGATCTGCCATGACGCTATAGCCGGTCACTATTCGGTATTAGACGATACTCAAAAGGTTGGGAACGAAGGCCATCATGGCACAAGGGTCAGATGTATCATCCAGATCTATGATCCTATGACTGGAGCTTGCGGATCATTCATACGCAAGTCCTTACTCTAGCCCATGCCCCAAGGATCTTAAATCAAAAGAAATAGGTATCTCGAAAATATCATAGCAATAAATGAGCTATATTTGATCTTATCACCTGCGAATAATATCTCAATAATAATCCAGAAGGTAGATGAGCATGCTGGGCAACATAGCTATCAGTCGCCAGATGCGCGATCTCCTTCTCGAAAATATATTTGAGGTCACTGAATATCTCAAGACGGTAATCAAACCCGAAGAATCGCAGGAAGTGTTCTTTTCCATAACTCTCTGGGCATAGATCCAGGCTTTGTGACATAAATACTCTACGTCAGATCAGTGGAGGAAACAGCAAAGGGCAATGAAGACAGGCCGAATTCTTACATTATCTTGTGCCCAGCTTGACCGCCGATGATTATGAGACTTTGGAGCGAAAGACGCGAAGTACGAGCCTCAAATCTCGATTCTGCAAAACACCTAGGTGCGTAAGCATCAGGGAAAGAGCTCGAGCGTCTTTGCATCTAATTTCTCGCGGAGACCCTATTATTAGACATCAAAACACTCAACCCTGGCTTATAATGACCACACTCACTTCACCGACTCCTATAGTGTACAATAGGCATCCATGTGGCGTGCACTATTGGATAGTTTCTTCACCTAGAGTTGTAAATTACACTCCCATTGGTTTTGGATTCTCGGTGGCTTTAGGGCTGATGTTCTCGATTTTAAGCATAAGGCGAGAACGGGTGCGGAACAGGGCGGCTCAGTAGTTTTCATGCAGCCACCCGCACGTTCTGCAAGCTGAAGCTCGTGTTCGGGGAGACATTTGGCAACGGCTTACTTTTTCCTATGGAACATCGTTGTAATATCAGTTACCAGCCATGTCTGCTGTATTTTGATGGTACCAGGCCAAGTGAACCTTTCAATTGAATTTGAACAAAAACTCAATCCATATTTAAAGCAGCTCTCGCCTCAAATGAGAGGGCATTACAAATCATAGAATTTAAACACAAAACCTTTCAACATAGCAACCAAACACTCAATCACAAAGAGCAACATGTCTTCGCTCAAGAGCAAATGCACCCGACTTCTCGTCATTACGAGTATATTGGTAGTTAGAAGCACTGCCGCCGTGGCGGGGTGTAATGCGGATAAGTGCGTAGATAACGGCTATTTCCTCTAAATATCTGTCATGCTGACTACTTGTACTTCGGAATAGTTGCTACCGTGCCCTATTCCCATGTCAATCTTCAGCGGCCCTTGCAACTGCATCGGCTTTCTGTGCGACTGTAACTGCTGGGGGCACAACTGCGACTAATTACCCAACTAGAGCCACCGCCTTCTGCGGCACGGCTCCAGACAGGTATCTATCCGCCTGTTCTTGTGGGCCGACTTGCACTTCAACAACTACGACTTCAAGTCCGACACCTTGTCCTTCTGCCGGTGGCCTCATTCCCAACGGTGACTTCGAATGCGGTCTTGCGCCCTGGACTGTTCAAGTTCCTGATCCTGCAGCTACGACCACATTGACTACACCTGGCAATACAGGGAACACGGCTTTTGAAGTTCACCTCACACGTGCTCCGGCTACACCTGAGAATGGTGTGAGTGCCCGTATTATCAGCGGTACTGTTCATGCAGCAGCAAACGTACCTGGGCTGTTCAAGTTTGCCTCCTATTTTGATAACCTCGACGCTGGCTTCATTGGAGTGCTCATCAATGGTCAGCCTGTATACACTGTTGACGCGCGGGATACACTCCCGGCTGGAGAATGGCACATGAATCAATTCTCCTATACACCACAGACGGATGATTTCACAGTCACGTTCGAGTTTCTCTTCGGGCCATATCCTTCCATAGATAAGATTGACACAGTGTCGTATAATTGGCTCCACTGAGCTCCAATTGTCCGGGATTAGGGGCTGTGCTCTCCATCAAACATAGGCAACGGACTCACAAATATCACAATATTCAAAACAATATATTTCTGTCCCCTTTTAAGTTAAAAAGATCTATAGAATCTCCTACAGTAGCTGTCAAGTCTTCTTGTTTCCATCGCACTATTGAATACGCTTACGTTTTAAATTTTGTATGAAAATACCGGATTACAGGGCTTCAGAATTGATCCAATTAGCTCTTGTCGATGTACCACGCTATGAGAGAACCTGCCTAGCTCGCCTGAAAGATAGGGAGTAGGGGATTGCATGCATATACCTGCTCTGCCGCTTGGAGGTTCTTGACATTTAGCAGAATGAATTCCTTCGTAATATGGATCAAGGCAATTTCCTACGGCTGAATGTAGCTTGTCCTCAGTCATGAGTGAATCTGGTACAAAAGAGAAGTAAATATCCACTTTTTGCAACCCCAAACCTCTGCAATGTTAATTTCATGTCTGAACACTCAAGAAAGCAACCAAGAAGAACGAAAAATGATTGGTGGGTTTAATACTTCAAAGTCTCTTCACCTGTTATGGTAGAATTGGAAAGGAGCTAGCGAGGGCCCCACAGGTGAACAGTAACATTCGCTTATGCCTAAGCTCAGCGCGTCACGTCATCTGGAGGTCAGCTTCCAGGCATCTGAGTATTATGGGCCGTTTCTCACTTCGTCCTCCAACCTCTTCATTGCGGTTTGGACATAATGGAGAAAACGAGCTCCCAGGCTAGGCCAAGGCCCCCTCCACAAGCAGGATCATCTGGGAAATCGCTTATTAAGGTGATAGGTCTGATTAGCTTGCTGAGCGTCGCTGCGCTCTACCGCCACTCCGGACATATCCTTCCCAGACCGAGAGACAGCGATAGTACAACTCTACAAAGACTTAACGTGCTCGATTCTCCTTATGGTGACTTCCCTTTACCCGACGATCCGTTCAATTTCATCCCGTGCACGAATAAATCAATACCTCCCTCGCTCGAAGATCGCGATCCCGAGACCACTTGGAAGGATCTCTTCGACCCGGATCCAGATCATTGGAGTTGGGGAAACAACACATCTAATGCAACAAAGACAACGCAGAATGACCCATACGCCGGTAGGGGGATATATCTCTGTGGATATCTAGACGTGCCGTTGGACTACACGAACAGCTCGGAGAGCCGTATTACTCGGCTCGCTGTTACAAAGTTTCAAGTCTCCGGCCTTGCGCGAGTCGGCGGTGCTTTCGTGAATGGTGACGCCGGCAAGAAGAGCGAGCGAACAGTAGTAATTGAGCCCGGCGGACCCGGTGGAAGTGGCACGAGCTTCGTTTGGCGAGCTGCAGAAGCAGTTACCAAACGCTTTAGTGACGGGCAATTCGATGTGCTGGGGTGGGATCCTCGAGGAGTCAATATTTCGCTGCCAGCAATCTCTTGCTTTCCATATGATGCCGATCGAGACCGCTGGTCGCTTCTCACGGGCCAATATCGTGAGGTATCTGCTTCTCCAATAGCTCAATTAGAGCTGGCCGATGCCATGAACAATGCAACATTTCGTGCCTGTTTGGAACGTCATGGCGACCTTCCTCGGTTTGTCAGCACCGCTTTTGTTGCCCGTGACCTCGAGGAGATCCGTAAAGCGCTTAATGAGGACGAGTTGACTGGTTACTTGGTCAGCTACGGTACTGGCATTGGCCAGACTTATGCCAACATGTTCCCCAATAGTGTGGGTCGAATGATCTTGGACGGGACCGAATACGTTCGCGACCACCGGGAGCTTGGAGGCTTCGGATGGACAGCACTAGATAACGTGACAAACGCATGGGAAGATGGATTTCTCGGCGAGTGTCTCAATGCGGGACCTGAGCACTGCGCTCTCGCTAAGACAGTCGACGGCAAGCCCGTCGCTCTCAAGGATTTAGAAGCACGGTTGGCGGCACTTGTGTCGTCTCTTGTGGCGCGCCCCCTTATTGGTTATACCGACAACAGTGGTCCATCACTCGTCACATACTCAGGGCTTGTAGCAGCTATCTACGGTTCGATGTATAATGCTAATAGCTGGCCAGCTCTGGCCCAGCTGCTATTTGAGCTCGAAGCTGGAAATTCCACGTTGGCTGCTGCCTTTTTGGAGAAGTCGATATGGGAATATGATCCAACCTTACCGTCTCCCCCGTCTCCAAAGCCATCGTCTGATGAGCTCGGTTCTCTTGTTATTTGCGCGGACTCATACGATGCTCCTCAGCCTGCTGACGGCCTTGTATGGTGGGGATCATTGTGGGCTAACATGACGACGCGTGCCTGGATTAGCGGTAACTCTCGGTTTTTTAATGTTTTTCCTTGTAGGCATTTCTCGACCTACTGGCCCAAGCCAGCCGAGGTCTACCGTGGCGATTTGAATAACACTCTGAAACACCCGGTCCTGCTTATTGCAGAAACATACGATCCTGCAACGCCTCTCCGAAACGGCAGGAGGCTTCTGAATGAGATGGGCAAAAATGCGAGGTTGATTGTGCATCATGGATATGGCCATAGCTCAAGAGATACCTCCAACTGCACAGACTCGATTGGTAAGAAGTATATCCTGCACGGAACATTGCCAGAAGAACAAGAGACAGACTGCTACGCCAACGAGAAGCCGTATCTGTACGGTGTGGATAAAAATGAGACAGGAGCATTCACCAAGGAGACTCGCCACCCGATTGCCTTGTGGGAAGAGCATGTCAGTGAGCTAGCCGGCTGGAATCCAAGGCTCCTACACGGTCTATGACCCTATAAGATCGAAGAACAATCATAGAGCCCTAGCACTACTTCATGGCATGGAATCTGAACGCGTAGTTGTGCGCCTCGTGATCTAAGCTATGTCACCGATGTCAACTATATTCACTATCCATTCTATCAGGAGCATCGGAGACTAAGATTAGTCTCCACAGCTATGCGAATGTATGTGGTAGAATTGTATTATGATAAATTCTGACGAGGCATAGATCCTGCTATCTCAGAACACGAGCATCTCGAGCAACTATGAACTCGAATTTCTCGTAGTTGAAGACGCAGGCAGCCGACCTGGATTATATTTCTTCAAAGTAGTGAAAGTGTATTGTTTGTAACAACTACCTATCTGCTTTGAACTGGATTCTAGTAAACATAAGCATGAAAGAGGGAAGCTTCACCATGTCGTTCGAGTTAGGACTGCCATTAAATAAGATCAAGAAAGAGCGGCAACGAAGTAGACAACTCGTCCAGACCAATCAACCCCTCTAAGAACCCAAAGATATGCTGAACACAGCGCAGCCGGTGCAACATAGCGGGCCTCAGGGTGCAGGAATCTTCTTAGTGTTCCACCAAGGGTAGAACCGCTCGCCTTCGCCCAGTTCTTTCAGTAAGCACGCGCTGCCTTCACACCCGGCAGCGACTTGATTGTTGCCCCACCAAGAGATCTCAATTTGTGCCCATTGAACGGAGAACAGCATGATGATCCCAGAGATGGCAATACCTGCAGAGAACGCGGCGGACAAGACGAAGTTGTACTGTTGAGAACGGCATGTTAGCATTGATAATCGATGATTCACGATGTTTTGAGTTGGAATGAGCGCAGTGATTCATTGTTACCTTCGACCAGAATGCAAGATACCTCTTCCTGACATAGATCCAAGACAGCCATGCGATTGGTACGGCTGGCCAGGCGTAAGAGAAGCTGTAGGGGGCCCAGTTCAGACCACCGTAGAACAGAGCAACCGGATGGAATTGTCGGAGATAACGGTTATTCTTGGAATACTTCAGTAGGAAGTAGAAAACGACAGGAGCCAAAATTCCGATCGGGAACCCAAGGAGAAGCTCCTTATATTGTCCTTGATGACCGAAAACTTTAACGGGCCCGATGGTGCCCCAAAGAACCGCAGCGGTGAAAAATGTGTTTGGGCCAGGGCAGAAGAATCTCATGGGAGCGTTGGTCTGACAGACATCTTTGATGTTGACCTAAAAACCCCGATTTTTAAGCACGAGTGATAGATGCAGGGCCATGGTTAAGGCTTACCTGAAAATTCATAACCCCTGTGCATACGAATGTCGAAACAAGAGTCGCAACGATTTGTGCTGCGAATGTGTGCCTTGGTCCAATCTAAAACTTTGTCAATAGCTGTGTGAAACATTCTGCATACGGGGCACCGAATTTTATTTCGAGTTTTGCGATGTAATATAAAGATGGTTTGTTGGAGTTAAGTACCTTGAGATAATGAGCGAGCTTCAAGTCACTGGCAAACTGAATTGCATGAGCGCAAGTTACATATCTAGACAGGCAATTAGCATTGTAGCACTTCCTTGAAGAATCGAAATCGTACCCAAAAGATTTGAAGTAGTTCATAGCGAGAGCGTTACCCTCAACCCACATGCCACCGATGAACTCGGCGAGGACGTTGAGAGTCACCTCAATACCGGTCATGGCCTTGATTATACCGACCGGGACAACAAAGACAAGCGCGAGCAGAAGACCATATGGGACAACCCCAGCTGTCGTGTATGTGGGCCAGCCGCAAACACCGGCGAAACCAAAAGCCATGGCGACGGCCAATGTTGCTAAGTACCACCACTCAGACACTTTTTTTCAACATCAATAAGCGTTTCTCCTATATCGAGGGGAGGCATCACTAACCTTCGGGATATTTCTTCATCAAACGGTTATGAACATCCTGATACTCGCCGGCATCGTCGCCCTCGACCACCTTTCTGCGACGAAGTCCCCGCCACAGATTTTTGAAACCCATAGTTACTTCATAGCGGTGGAATAAAATGACATGGGTAATGGCGGCGGTATAAATAGCGAAGAAGGCACCGTAAACGATTGTGTTGCCTGCACTTAGATAAGCAGCAGAGTAGGACATATACTTGTCGTGGTCATAAAATCCTTTCTCGTTGATAGCTAGAGACACATTATATCTTGATCCAAAATGATCGAAGACTCTGTTGGAATTGATTGGAAGAAAACCAGTATTCCATGTGTTGGTGAACCAGATCGCAGCCTGCCCGGGGGAGATGGTTAGATGAGTTCGGTCCGATAATGGAGAAAGACTCACAATAATAAGTCCAAAGAGAAACATGCCTAAAGCTTTGTTAAACGTCGAGAAGGCAGGAACCATCTAGCATTTTTTTTTTTAGCAGGATACAGGGCTGCCCGTATTGGTTTTGTACTTACGAGGGGGTCGACTGAATCGAATAACATGACGTTCCAGTCGAATGTAGGCCAAGGGTTGAACAACTTGGTCGGTTTTCAGCATATAAAAAAAATTGGTACTTCATTTGAATTACACTTACTCCAAGTCCATTATTGAAACCAGTCAAGATTTCAAGCTTCATATTGTTTGGCGCAATCCAAGTCATCCAACTAAAGTAGGTAAGGATTTGAAATATGTAATTTGGGAACCAAAAATAGATGAACATTGCACCAAATGCCCACAAGAAAAAGCGATAGCGAGACATCGAGTATAACTTTTTGAAAGGGCCAAGTACAGCTGGATTGCTGTCCTTGTGTAAAGCTGAGTTTAGAGCGATAATCACAAGCGACGCTGGCCAGACACAGTAAGCTGGATAGACAATAAATCTTCGAGTCAAGCCTGCAATGCCGTATCCAATGAAATTCGTCGACAAAGCAATAAGAATCTGGTATCCGAAGGACCTCGCATATTGCTGATTGAAATACTGAGGAAGGACCTGAGTCCACACGATATATTGAGTGTAAGGCAAACTTTTGGCAGTATTTGCCATAATTGCAATGAGCATATGTTCCTTCTTGTTGAAAGGTCCAGGGTTCAGGCCAATCCGATTTCCGAAGACGGTAAACTCGTAGTTAGGCATCCATCTTTCCCAAGCTTTACCAATAGGGAAAGCCAAGAGTTGTGCAACGTTCGAGTCGATGTTGATAGATGGTTGCCGAATGGAAAATAATTGGTTAACAAAAGCGAGTATTACTGAGAAGAAGAGACCAATTGTCCAGGCCCGGATGGTTGAGACTGGTGTCGAAGGGTCATCGTGATTATCAACAACAGCTCGGACTTCAGCGTATGGACTGTTGTTGGTAATCAGAGCCGCCTCCAACTTCATTTCTGTAATCAATTCCTCATGCTTCTCTGGATTTTCAAATATCTCCTCGTTATCTACTATTGATGAGCTTCATGGGGTTCCAAAAAGCGTTTTATAGGGCTCTGAACTTACCCAAAAATTGCTGAATGCGGATCAATACTGTGTGAGGAAAGTTTGGATCTCGTTCGTGGATCGTGAGCACGTTGGTCATCATCTACAAAGCAATGAGCCAGAAGAACTCGAACAAAATCTGACGAGGGCGTAAGGTATATACTTTGCGCAGTTGTTCAAGTGTAAATGTTGCTGCGATTGCCTTGGCTTCGATAAGATCCTCCTCAGTGACATGCAGATCTCTATAAAAAAAGTGTTAGTCGACTTGTAAGTTGAAGTAAGATGACTCGTACGTCTCGAGGGCCCGCTCATTGTCACCCAGATCAAGCTCTCGAAGTTCTCCCTAACATCGTCAGTGATCCGATGAGAATCACTTCCTCGGTTACGCATACAAATGGTTCTTTATCTGTGCCTGAGGTTGTGAATAGACCCTCATCCCCCGCAGGGGTGATTCTTGAATCGTTTTTCTCAGCGGGCGACATCGCGGACAGCAAGAACGAAATCTGTACGGTGGAACGACAACTTCACAGGAGAGCCTGAGAAATTTGACGGGAGGTTCCCTTCTTGAATGATTCAGAAGAACCAGCGCTTATCGGTGGGACAGGCAAGGGTGTCCATAAACGATTTCCTCCAGCCTATTTCGTAGGAAAGGGGGTCGGTGCAGTAGCAAGACTAGAAGTACAAGCCAAAGAGTGCCTTGGCTTCCTCTTGGCTTCCTCCCTGGGATGATCGACCTTCTCTATTATTACTAGCATTGTATTGGTATGTCGTGAGACAAGACAAGGAGATAACCCGACTGCATGAGTTCCGGTTATGGTGGTATGGATTGATTTCCAGCCGGGGGTGATAAGGGTGTTCTCAGTCTTGGGAACCAACTGGATCGTCTGCCAATATCGAACTCTGGGCACGGGACTGGGGCCAGTCGTAGCGGGTCTAGGTGCCCCAAGTCGATACAGTGACCCCGGACCACCATACTTGGAATGTTCTATAGACAGGAGAAACCTGCGAGTCAATACCACCAAGATATCAGGTCGGATCTCAACGGCCTGGCATTGGTATGTCCAGCAATACAAGAGTCGCTTCAGATCTTGAGCTATTACCGCCACCCCATGCAAATGCAATTCCTCGCACTCACACATATGATTTGTACACAATAGAATATATATTCCTTCGCTTATAGAGGCAATCATAATAAGATGTCTAGATGCATATGTGGAGAATTGAACAGTGCTACTTAGCATCAATGCTTCGTATGAATTATCGCAAGCTCTTCGCTCCAACGCTTCCTGCCCCTTCAAGCCTGCCAAGGACAAGAGTCGAGAGGTGTTATCTGCAAGGTATCACTCACTAAATTTACTGATCCAATCGTAGTAAAGCATGTCCCTAAATATCCGGGATGCGGCGGTTGATCGGGGGGAAGCAATCTGGGTTGGGACATCGCCTGCAGCGGATTGGCGCGATCCGGGAGCACGGAGGAGGGGCGCTTGAAGTGTATAGAAATTGCCTACTACTTCACACAGTGCTATCTGTAATAACTTTCTCCCAAAGACTTGTCTATCAATTAAGTGGTGGTTCCCTTTCATATTATGCCTTCCTGGTCGGAATTGCATAATCAAGCAAGTTATCTGCATTGAAATATCACCAGATTGATCTAGGCGTATAGGTGATAGATGCGTGGATATATTGACTTCTGAAATGGCACATGAGGCGTCAACATGCAGAACAGACGGAAGGATCAATGGTGAATCCGTGCCCAGGTTTTTGGGAATTGTTGCTTACCCTCCGCCCTGCCCCGCGGTCAGCAGCAAGCAAGATCGAGGCACAAATGACAGTAATTGAGCAGATATTCATGTAGCCTACCCAGTATCGGATTGATGACGGCCGCTTTAGGAAGGAGCCAATGATGGGCGGCCAATTTGCTTGCGGGTACGCCGCTCAGGGGTGCAGCCACCATGTAAATAGCTGGTCGCCGGCCGATAAGACATATAAAAGTCGACGTGATATATGTCTTGGCTGCGTCTTGGTTTCTCTTGGGCTCCTCATCTCCGCCTCACATCACCTCAACGGCGATGTGAAGTACATTGGGCCATTTCCATAACCCTGCTTTCCTCTTATCGTTGATTGTCGCAGTGAGGCCATTATCTGCCGACAAGAGCGTTCTGGGCACTCTCCAAATAACGTAGCATCATGCGATCAGGACCTCGGCCCACAGCCTAAAACGTTGGAAGACGCCATGGTGAAGCTTCACGACCTCAGTTGATTGCTTTCTAGCACGACTCCACTCTAGATCCCCACGCGCCGCGTATGGTCGTCCTCGTCCGCCTTGGCTTCACTTCTCCGCCCGCTCGCCCTCTCTCGCGTTACCTTCTAGAACAGGGTTATTCGACAACACCTCCTGTTCAATGGTGCTTGTTAGACGTATGAGACGTTGTTTGCTCAGGCTGACGTAAAATTTCGCGATCGGTCAATCTCCTGCTATTGCTGGATGGGGGCCAGCCCAGACTTCGGGCATCGAAGATGACGAATTACACCAACGTGGAGACGACTTTCATTGTTCATTTCGCTGACCCTCACTTTGCCGCCACCATCCGGGTTGACATCCAAGTCGCCGTTGGCGGGTTGTGCTTTCGTTCAAGGCTTATCGTAAATTGCCAAATTATCAATTCAATCCGATTCAGGTTTTGCAAGGAATATCTGGCTCCCGCACCCAAGTCGCTTGGCTGTTCGTGCGTCTCTTAATAGTCCCTGCGCAAACACCTGTGCGGTAGGAAGTTTCGACTTTTGAGATTGAAGTTGATTCCTTGGGAAGTAGGTCTGAGTCTTGCAAGAGCCCCCGTCAATGACTGGTGGATGGCCGTAAGGTTGCATTCGACGTGTGACAGATCTCCTGGGGTGTATGTGTAGTGCAAGCCAAAAGCATTGTGGATTGCGTGCTCCCACATTGGCCATCAATGCAAATCCAATACCCAATATCCAAGCGAACCGTCGAGAATGGCAGGTGATTAGACAGTCTCCACGGCGAGTGAGATTCAACTCATGACTTATCTTTCACAGTGGTAACCTCGCAATGGTCAAGCAGTCTTCTCATGTTAGCCGCCAGTGAAGGTGTCTCGCTCGGCACAGGTTTTGCAGCGCCTGACCCCACTTTTCACAAGACTGGGCAAGAGCGCTTGACTTCGTAGTCAAGATCTCCTTCCTTTTTCGTGCATTGTGCCCAAGCAGCAGGAGGCAACTGAGATGCCCAGAGCCTTGATCTATCTCCCTTGCTGGTATTTCACGAGCAAAGTGGTTTTCCGCCGACATGTAAGACAGAAGTTAATCAGCTTGAGGAGGATCTAGCCAGAAAGAAAGCTATCCCTGCACACCTATAATCTAGACATGCCTTTCATAGAAGCTATGGGGAGATGCGTGTGAAGCTCCGAGTATTTATGCAGCAGAGATCTGGCTCCCTAAAAGTTGTCTTGTCCGTTCTATGCTAGCATTAGTGATTAATCCGCATTAATTAAAACAAGAGTAAACCAACAGAGCAGATTGCTTTGGCTTGATCCCTAAATGGATGTCCTCTTTGGAGCAAAATCATTGCGCACATACGAGAGCCATCAAGTGGGAGAGCTGGGTTGTTGATTTCTTCATAAATTGCCACCGATTTGTGCCAAGCCCAAAGTGCGAATAGCAGAAAAATAAGGTCGGCAGAGAAAAAGAACCACCCATTTTTCACTCTCAATCTTTTGAAGGGTTATCTGCTCCTAATCAATATTTTATATGTCATGTAGATGTTTATATGTCATGTAGATCGCCTGACAAATCAGGTATTCACGTGGGTTCCTCGATCCTGCGTTAACGGCGCTAACCGGATGCCGCACCGGCGAGACACATTAGGAAAGTAGAAGTGGAGTTGCCACAAGCTACTCCAAACCTCAATCATTCGAAAAGGCTGAGGAAGGATAATGTTACATTGCTATCCGGCGAGACATACTGAGGAAAGTCGAGTGGGGATCCCGTATACTGGTTGGACCTCGTCTTGTTGAGAAGGCTGAAGACTGGTGCTTCAAACCATGATTGACTCAGAGTCATGAACTTGGTCGAATCTCATTGAAGTGAAGTGGATCCAAAACAACTGTACGGTATCGGTTTCGTGCTCCTCTAGATTGTAAATGAGTTGCTTG